AGCCTCCTGGTCAAGGTACAGATTCCTCATGAGTACAATCAAGTGCTCGGGAATTCCCATTCTTCTCAATGTTATCCATAAAGCTTCTAGTGACCCTATTAACTATAATTAGATTGCTGTTACGTGCCGTCGAGTTGGACCCAACTCATAGTGACCCCTCCTTGGGTTTCTGAGGCGGTATCACTACAGAAGTAGATTGCCCAACCTTCCGTCCAAGGAGTGGCTGCTGGTAGATTTGAACCACCAGCCTTCTGGTTAGCAGTCAAGTGCCTTAGGCACTACACTACCAGAGCTCCCTATAATTAGATAAGTAGGTATAAAGAAAAGGAGAAACTGGATATCCTGTGAACAGACTTGGTGGACACAGAAGTGGAGAGACTGCATTTTTTAAAATAAACTTTTTATTGAAATATAACATAGAGAAAAGTGCTGAAATTGTAAGTGTACAGTTAAATGAATAATCACAAAGGGAACACAACTGTGTAACCACTCAGTTCAAGAAATACTGTATTACCAATTCTACAGAAGCCACCTTTATACACTCTTCCAATTCCTTACCTTTCTCATGTTAACTCTTATCCTCACTTGATGGTTTATTTTTGCTTTATTTTATTTTTTTTAATTAAAGGCCAACAGCCAAATACTGCCAAGAGTGAAACTGTAGTTCAACATATTTAGCCTTACTGGCTTGCTGCAACAAAGGAAGGCACTCAGAGGAATTAGAGTGCATCTTGTAAGAAGAGGGAGCATGGAGAAGTTTTTGTAGGTTTGGGCTAAGAGTGAATAATTCTGAGGAGAATTATTATAGGGAGAAGTAGGTAACAACTCTAAACTGGTTGCTTTCATGAGGTTAGGGCAGCTTAGCAATTGGGTATCTCAGTAATGCTTGTTCACACGTGGGGATAGCAAAGCAAGACTGGGACATCATTAGTAAAAAACCAGTAGTAACTCAAAAGGAGGTCATTATGACACTTCCCTATGTAACCTTTCCCTTGGGAGAAATGTCTGTTATCTCTGTAACAGACTTTATATGTGTCTGTTACGAGGTAACAGGTATCATAGATGACAGGGCTTATTTTTTCAGTTGTCTGTAGATGAATTTCACTTTCAGTCCTGGACTAATATATCTCATTTTGGTATAAATAAAATGAAACAGTATTTTCTCTTTGTTTGGCTTTTTTCAATCATCAATTTGTGAGATTCATCACTTATTAGTGGCATAGTGCCTAAGGGATCTGTCTTCTAACCAGAAGGCTGGCGGTTCAAACCCACCAGCCACTCCTCGGAAGGAAGATGAGGCAATCTACTTACATAGTGATACCTCCTCGGAAACCCAAGGAGGGGTTGCTAGGAGTTGGATCCCAGTGGACGGCAGTGAGTTTGGTTTTTAGTTTGGTACTCTTAATGCAGTACAATATTCCACTATGTGAATGTATCACAATTTACCCGTTCTGCTGATAAACATTAAAGAATTTTCAATTCTTGACTTTGACAAAATATGCTGCTATAAATATTCTAGTACATTCCTTTAGATGAACATATGGACCCATACTTGTTGGACATATCACAAGAGTAAAATCATTAGGTCATATCAATGCACATATCCAGCTTTGGTAGATTCTGGGACTGTTTTCCAAAACGGTTGCTTCAGTGTTTATTCTCACTAGCTGTGTATGACATTGCAGTTTCTGTATATTCTCAGATGCAGATGTTACCTGCTTTTACCCTTTAGCCATTTTGGTGGATTTCTTACTCCACTGTGGAGTTCCAACCCAACAGCCACTCCTTGGAAGGAAGACTGGGCAATCTACTTCCGTAGAGATACCACCTTGGTATCTCCCAAGGAGGACTTGCTGTGAGTTGGAACCGACTGGAGGGCAGTGAGTGAGTATCAGATGGTATTCTTACTCAAAATTGACTCATCTAATCTGGGCTCTTTGCATTTTCTTAGTGATTCTAAAATCAGCTTGATATTAAAAACGCAACCCTGATGGGGACATTATTGCAGTTGCTTTAATCATATTTAAAAAGAGTCAACATCTTTCGATAATGAGCATTGCAATCCATGAACATACATTCCTTTCACTTATTTAAATCTTTAATTTCACCATTTTGTGGTTTTCAGTACTATATTTTCTTTTGAATTTCTTTGTTACAGGTATACAGAAATATAACTGATTATATATATATTCATCTTCTCTCTGGAGACCTTGCATAACTGACTCTTAATTCTAAAATTCATTGATTCATATTTGGATGGTGTATTCAGACAAATGTCATTTACAAAGGAGAGTTCGTTTTATTTCTTTACAATTGTTAGGCCTTTTATATCCTTCCTATGGCTATCACCATACAATAAACAGAAGAGGTGGCAGCATCCATCCTTATGTTGTTTTCTATTTCTGAAAGAATAATGCCAGTAATTTACTATTAAGTATAACATTTGCTATAGTTTCTTAAGGTGGGAGTTTATATCATTGACTTGGGATTGATCTGAGTACTGAGTGAGCTTTAGCTCATTAGCAATCCCACACATTTTGGTACATTTTCATTCAGTTCAGAATATTTTCAAATTTTCTGTGTTACTTCTCCTTTAGTCCATGGCTTATTTTGTTTACTTTCCATATATCAGAGGATTCTTCAACTCCCTTTCTGTTAATGATTTCTAGTTTAAGTCTGTTCTGGTGATAACCCACTGCCATCAAGTCAATTCTAGACTCCTAGCAACCGCCATTGGGTTTTTGAGGCAGTCAGTCTTTTTTGGAAGTACGTTGCCTGGTCTTCCTTCCACAGAGTGGTTGGTGGGTTTGAACCTCTAGTCTTCCGCTTAGCAGTCAAATGCCTTAGGCACTGCAAATTTATATGATTTTAATCCTGTGTATTGAAACATATATTTATAATGTGCATTTGAAAAGAATGTATATTGCTTTTGTTGGATGGAATGTTTTATGTCAGTCCACTTAGTTGATAGTGCTGTTCAAGTCTTCAATATTTTCGTACTGATTTTTATCTCTACTTGTGCTACCAATTAATGTTCATATATCTTAGTATAATTGAGAATTTTCCTATATCTTTCAATTTTAACACTTTTTATTTCATGAATTTTTAAGCTACGATATGCATACTGAAACTAGAAGATAGCTGCTTTAGCGTTGGACTCTCAAATGCCAGAACAGAGGTTTTCTTCCTTGAGAGAACTCAATTTCTGCATAGAAGAATCTTCCCATCTCTTGCCTGGAACATAAATCCCATACAGAAAGCAAATAGCACTGTTTACCCAAAACCAAACCAAACCCACTACCGTGGAGTTGGATCTGACTCATAGCGACGCTTCCTTAGGTTTCTGAGGTGGTATATCTATGGAAGTAGATTGCCCAATCTTCCTTCTGAGGAGTAGCTGGTGGGTCTGAACCGCCACCCTTCTGGTTAGCAGTCAAATGCCTTAGGCACTACGCCACCCAGAGCTCCCAAACAGTACTATTTGATAGGTAAGAATTTCAAGCATTGGAAAAGCTAGTCTCGAGTATGTAACAAATACAAAACAATCTGTAACCTAGATCCTTTGCTATGCTAGTAATAGAATTATCAGTTGAATATAATTGGTAATTAAACCTACCCAATGGTCTTGATTCAAATCAATAGGTACTGATAAAGCATCGTTTGGATGAGCCCGAACTCTGAAAAGGAACCATTTTCAACAATCCTAAGACACATTTTTTTGTTTTCATTTTCACATTTCTGAAATGTTGTTGTTATGTGCCGTCAAGTTGGACCCGACTCATAGCGACCTCTCCTTGGGTTTCCAAGGCAGTATCACTACAGAAGTAGAATACCCCATCTTCCTTCCGAGGAGTGGCTGGTGGGTTTGAACTGCCAGCCTTCTGGTTAGCAGTCAAGTGCCTTAGGCACTACGCTACCAGAGCTCCTATTTCTGAAATAGGTGTTTAAAAATTAATGCTATATAATTTAATTGACAGTATTTTATTTCCTAGTGTACATAGGATTTTTCTTTTTATAATCCATGGTATCTTAAGATGTGATGGAATGTCACATATCTCCTGTTGTTCTTCCTGCATTTTTGTTCATGAGTCCCTCTTTCTAATCTGTTGGTTTCCACAAACTTCCTTCTCATGGTTAGAGAAATACTCCCCAAGGGCTTTGATCACATTTCAGTAGTACTAAAGAAGGAAATGCTTAAGAGAGAACAAAACAAATTAAACACAGTTAAAAACATTGATAAGGTATATTTAAAAGGAAAAAGTTTGATTTAATACCCATTCGAGACTTTAGAACTTTAGACCTATCCTCTGGTGTTACTGAATATGGGTCCTTGTGATAATTTTTTTTGGCTCCAAATCCCTGGTAGATTTATATAATGCCAGCCCATTAGAAGATGTATTAAAAGTCAAATTAATAGTAGATGTTCAGGTACACTCTTATAAAAGGGCAGCAGGAACTGGGAGGGCATTCATTTTAGAGATCCAGAAACAGAATCAAATCATTTATGAGGCTGTGTGACAGTATCCAAACAAGCAATGAGGGCTATTATGCAGTGGTAAAGGGCAAATGCTCAGCCATCACCCTACATCAGAGTGAGAGGAAAATATTCTGGAAATAATCTCTTAGAGGCAACTGTCTTAACCTCTCACTCTCTTTCATTCCTTGTTAGAGATTAACTAAGCTTCCCTGAATTAACGGTTCTGTTTGATGCCTCCCCTGCTTATTCCCAGTTAACTGCTTAAGGTTACTTTTGGTCTAAGTATATACTATCAGTTGCAGTCCTCCCTTGGCAAGTTAATAAAGTATCCCTGTTTTCCTGATGTGGTACTTTTACATATAGATACCAGTATTTTCGGGAAAAACTGAGATATAGAATACTGGGCAACCTTATTAGCTCAGCTTGAAGAATCATTAACCTTCATTTAGAAAATCATGGCTGCAATTTGGAACTCACTGTCTAGTAGCTTTCAATTTAGTTACACATTTGAATTATTTCTCTACCCTCCGCAGTTACATAAACTTCTTTAATAACTCCTCAGGGATGAATACCTAACTCTTTGAGATATCTGATCCCCACTCCCAATCCCACCTGTAATACTCAAGTAGTAAGCCTGGATTTCCCAGACACACTCTCTAAATACCATTCTTAAAAATCTATGTAGATATTTTTTATGTGATGTTCTTATAGCCAAACATAAACACTGTACATATTTTCAGATGTCCATAGTGATTTCTAAGGACGCTGGGGTGCTGTAAAAAATTCAAATGACCTTTTTTTGGATACTATACATTGAACATGAGAACGAGAGAAGCCTGAAAAGAAAATTATCTGAAACTTTCCCTGTGTTTTGTTAGTATAGAACATGGTGGTGAAGAAAATTAAGGAAACAACATAGAACAGTGATGAGAGGAACTATATATCCTTAAATATATTTCAGCTTCACTTGACATGTTTCAAAATAGTGTATGTACCCTACTTGGCTTTAGTTTGGGGTTGGTCACCTGAGGTGGTGAGATGTGGAAGTACACTATATAAGCCTCATCTAGGAAAAGGAACTACTTATGTTCCTGAGGAGTCACTTGGTGGTGCAAACAGTTAATGTGCTTGGATGCTAACTCAAAGATTGGAGGTTTGAGCCCACCTGGAGGTACCTTGCAAGAAAGGCCTGGAGATACACTTCTGAAAAACCAGCCACTGCAAACCTTATGGAGCCCAGCTCTACTGTGAAACACATGGGGTAACCATGAGTCAGAATTGACTAGATGACAACTGGTTTTTATGTTCCTGAACAGTTGGCTTCAGGGAGAAGGAAGAAAAACTATATGACAAGTTTTCCCACTCCTTGTTGTGTAGCCACAGCCTACTGTATATGTCTTGCAATAAACACAAGAGTTTCCATGCCCATCATACCTCCAACCACCCCCTCAGCCTAAAACTAGCATATTATGTTATCAGTTTAGAGAGAGCTACTTAGGGCCAGAAGGAAATATGAAAAACATAAGGCACATGATTTGAAGAGACTTAGTAGAGAATATGAAAAAGGGAACCATGTCCTGCTTGGACAAATATAAGAACTTGTGGTTAAAAATGTGGGGCAGGATATATAGTCCTAATAACCAGCTGAATTACAAGTACAGATGTTTCCACTCTACTCATCTGAGGAAACATAACAATCTATATAGCATAACAGTGCTTGGTTCTTAAATACTTTTAAAATAAATGAATGCTTTTCAGTAAGGGAACATGTCTGAATAATCTTTACTATTTCTTTCCTTTGTAGAATAAAAAGGTAAGAGTGTTGTTAAGAATATTTAACAGTGTTTACAATACAAGCATTCCTGACTGAAGACTTGAGTGGGCTGACATCATTTAACAAGTCTCTTTTGTGTGAACCCGCTGGTGGATATGAAGATTGGAGCTCTGGCTGAATCCCTTTCCACACTTACTACACTCATAGGGCTTCTCTCCAGTATGTACTCTCTGATGAATGAGGAGTTTGGAACTCTGGCTAAATCCTTTCCCACACTTGCCACAATGATAGGGCTTCTCTCCAGTGTGGACTCGGAGATGGATGCGAAGATCTGAACTCTGACTGAAGCCCTTTCCACACTCATAGCATTGATAAGGCTTCTCTCCGGTGTGTATGCACCGATGAATATGAAGGTTTGAACTCTGACTGAAGCCCTTCCCACACTCTCCACATTTGTAGGGCCTCTCTCCTGTGTGGACTCGCTGATGGATGTGCAGGTTAGAACGCTGACTGAAGCTCATACCACACTCCCCACACTCGTAGGGCTTCTCGCCAGTGTGTACTCGCTGATGGATGTGCAGTTTGGAGCTCTGACTAAAGCCCTTCTCACACTTATCACATTTATAAGGTTTCTCACCTGTATGAACTGCATGATGAATGAGTAGACTAGAGCTTCTTGTGAAGCCCTTCCCACACTTGTCACACTTATAAGGTTTCTCATCTGTGTGAACTACTTGATGAATGAGGAGACTTGAGCTTCTTGTGAAGCCCTTCCCACACTGCTCACATTTATAGGGTTTTTCTTCTGTGTGGTCTCTCTGATGAAGAAGTAGTTCTGAGCTCTGTCTAAAGTCCTTACCACACTGAACACATTTATGTAGTTTCTCTTCCAAGTGGATTCTCTCATATGGATGAACATTTGGACTGGTCTTAAGTATTTTTCCATGCTCATTACAGTTACAAGGTTTCTCCTTTGTATGAACTTTCTTGTGACTATAATCAACAAACTGTGATTTACAACCACAAATGTCTTTATGGTTATAGTCAAAGGGGTCCAAAGATTCTTTCAACTGGCCGTTCTGGCAGATTGCCTCACCATTAAACAATGGAGGGACCAGTTGTGTTACATCTGACTGAAGTTTAACTTGAAGGTTCTCTGAAAAATGGTCCATGCGTGGATTTCTTCCAGCTATCACTTTCCTCTCAGCGCTTTCTTCAATTATAAAGAGACTTTTACGTTCCTGAGAATCCTGTGGCTCATTCTTATAGAACTTCACCAGAGAGTCCTGTGTGGGCATTTGGCTTGGGACCTTCAAAGACAGATATTCTTCACTTTCCATGTTTTTTAAATCATCACTTTGAAGAGTCACCATGTTCTTAGTTTGGGTAATATGAGATGATGCTTCCTTCCAATTTTGACAAGGGGAAAGATTTGTTTCTGGCTCTCTATATACTTCCCCTTGAAGATCCATAATATAATCTTGACTCCCAGTTATTATATTGGCCATCTTTTCCAGCAGGAAAGTTCTTCATGTAAAAGATCCCTAAGTCCTTTTTGAAGATTCTGTACAGAATTTTCATTCAGGTCTCCTAGAGAACAAGAGAATTCAATGATAAGAACAAAGTATAGATTGAAGATTTCAGGAGTGGCTAAGACCTGAAGACTTACTAACTAGGAAATGTTAAGCTTCTTGTCCTTATAGTCATATCCTTTGGGTTAATGTCAGAGAGAAGGCTTGCATACAGAAAACAGGAATTCCCTCTGTACTGAAGTGTAGTGAATAGAAATATTTCTCTCCTAATCCTGCGGAAAGCTGTGAATCCTACATCCTTGTCAGAAATAACACTTCATTTCATTTTACTTCATTAAAGTTGAATTTAATTGGTAATCTACTCTAATAGGTGTTAGGGATGCTAAGAGAAAAATTGAAATCCTTTTGCTTAACTAGCTACAGCCTAATGGGAAGAAACACAAATATATCAACAAAGGTAATACAACGTAAGTGCTATAATAGATGTATGTACAGCCAGAATGGACACAGAGAATGAATGGGGCATTCAACCCAAACTAGAGGGTCCTGGAGAAGATTTCTGGGGGAAAAAAGTGAAATGTACAGAAAGAAAATGTTTAGGAAAACCACAGGAACCTTCTTATGAAGGATGTAATACTAGTAAAAGCAGCAAAGAATGTGCCCTAGAGAGTAAGAAAGGAGCTGGAACAAAGGGCTAATGTGTAATACTAAGAATTTAGGGCTAAATCCCTCAGGGATTATAAAGCTATAGTGCACACATGTGCATGTGCATGTGTGTTTGTGGCAGCCCTAGAGGACAGGGTAGAACTGCACCACAGGGCTTCCAAGGCTGTAAATCTTCACAGAAGTAGATTGCCGTATCTTTCTCCTGAAGTGCCGCTGGTGGGTTTGAATCACCAACCTTTTGGTTAGCAGCCAAGTGCTTAACCACTGTGCTACCAGGGTTCCTTCTAAAGCTATTAGAGGATTTAAACTGGGAGTGAAATGACTAACTTTATAAACGCAATTGAAAGTGCGGTGTAGTAAATTACTTAGTGTGGCTTTTCTACCCATAAGTCTTTGTAAACTCCAAGGTGGGAATTGCTATTAGCAACTGAGGAGATCCTGATTTTAAAGTCGCCCACCTGGGTTATTTCTGTTGGGCGTGGCACAATACAATGTTCTGGGA